AGCACTGGCCTAGCTGGAGATGATAGAATAGATCCAGACTCACTCGGGGGAGCACGGGGGCCTTTGTGTGTCTGGGAGAGAACTCACTGGCTGTAGTCACTCGGTGCCTTTAGATTTAGGGCCTTCCCCCTAGATCAAGAATGGTGCTAAGGGAAGGGAGGGTGTGCAGTGAGAATTAACCTCTGTCCCCTTGGTCTGTCCATGTCCACCTTCTGGGGCAATGAATATCTTCCACCTGACTTGGATCCTGGGCTCTGTGATGCCAGATCCTTTGTGTGCGGCTATGACCTGTGGTGGCAATAGCTGTTGGCTCAAATGCTGCAGTCCTTGCACGGGCCAAACTCCCATTGACTCATCGTTGTGCTCGGTCCCAGTGTGCTAGGTGCTCCGCTGCCCCGAGGAGCTTAGACCCGAGCGTAAGAGGAGACAGCGGGTGGATTGAACAAGGAGATGGGGGAGGAGTGCGAGGTAACAGCGAGATGGTAGCTTTGAATGAGGAAGGAGTGCTGGCTTTGGCCCATGGGCTCAAGACCTGGGGTGAGATTTTCAAAGCTGTTTAGATGTTCAAATTAAGGCAAGGAACGTGTCTACATCCCCTAGGCGGCTCTGGAAATCTCAGCCCCCGTGACTGTCCCTTCCCCTCTGCTGGCCGTGTGATCCTATTGTCAGCGTCACCCTTGGGTCCATGGCGGGGCTGTGGGTTCACAGAGCAGCCTCGCAGTCCCCCGTCTCTGCGTGTGTCAGGTTTGACAGGTTACGCCACCACCTGTTACCGATGTACAGCTACGACCCCGCAGAGGACCTGCACGAGGCTGAACAGGAGCTGCTGGGGGATCCAGACGACACCAAGGTGAGCTGCTCGGGTCCAGAGGCCACACGCGAGAGCAGCTGTGGGCGGGCGGCATGAGTGGGTGTGATGCCACTTGGAGCTGGTCGTCCCCGGCACCGGTCACGTTTGCTTTTGGGGTAACGTGCTTGTGAGTCAGGAGGGTTGCCGGAGAGGAACGTGAGGAGGCACTTTACCGAGCATCCAGACTGCTCCGGCCAATGTTCCTCATCCTAAATCATCTGTTGTAGAAGATCTGCCCAGGAGAGCACTGTGCATTCAGCAGTCTTGTACAAGAGACACGGAGGATGGGGTCTGAGCACAGGACCTGGATCAGTGCTTGAGTGGCTAGTTATGTGGGCAAGTAACAACCTTTTGGTGCCACTGTTGGCCTGTAATCACAGAGTGATTCAGGTTTCTGTGTAGTCTCCCAGGGAGTTTGCTCCTGGAGGTGAAGTCCTAAGGGCTGTTGTAAATGCTAAGTTTAAAAGGGTCACCGTCAACTTGGCAAACCGCATTTTTGGTCTGGAAACTTTGTATCTAGTATTGTTAATGGTAACAGCGGAGATCACTATCACCAGCATGTTACAGCAAAAGTTGGGGGTTGTGGTGAAGAATCAGCTCGACATGAGTGATGCTGTGGCCAAAAGGGTGAATGCGATCTTGGGATGCAGAAATGGGAATTTTGAGTAGGTCTGCATTTGGCACTGGTGCGACCACCGCTGGAATCCTGTGTCCAGCTCCAGTGCCCACAATTCAAGAAGGATGTTGATCAATTGGAGAGGCTACAGACAGGAGCCATGAGAATGATCAAAGGATCAGAAAACCTGGCTTCTAGTCCTAGACTCAAGAAGCTCAGTCTATTTAGCTTAACAAAGAGAAGGTCAAGGAATCACTGACTTGATTACAGTCTATAAGTACCTACAGGAGGAACAAATATTTAACAGTGAGCTCTTCACTCCAGCAGAGAAAGGTTTAACACAATCCAAGGGCTGGAAGCTGAAGCTAGACAAATTCAGACTGGAAATAAGGTGTAAATTTTTAACAGTGAGAGTAATTAACCATTGGAACAATTTCCCAAGGGTTGTGGGGGATTCTCCAGCACTGATCATTTTTCAGTGAAGACGGGATGTTTTTCTACAAGATCTGCTCTAGGAATTATTCTGGGGAAGTTCTCTGGCCTGTGTTACACAGGAGGTGATAATCACAATGGCCTTTTTTTGCATTGGAACCTGTGAATATATGAAATGAATCGTCCTTTCTCTGGCGGCTCATTCTGTGTAGTCAGTTCAAAGGATTTCCTCAGTATTGTCAGGCCCCAACCTTGCAAACGTTTTACCATGTAACTCATTGGGTCTGTTCCTGGGTATAAAGTTACCTTTGTGTTTGCAGCATTGGCATTTCCTCTGCTGAAAAGAGCCCTAAACTCTAACAAGAGAGCAGAAAAACCTTGTCATTTGCTTTTCAAAGGATTTTAACAAGATATTCCTTTTAAAGGGGCTGTCAGAAACAGGATATTTTTTCCCACTTGGTCCATTTAAAAAAAAGAGAGAAATTCACATTGACTGTGTTCCTTTAAATATCACTGCTGTTACTCAACAGGAACCATTGAATAGAAATGGAGGTATATTTAAAAAAATCTGGCTTCAGAAAAAAATACGAAGAAATACCCACTTGCCTCTTAAAAACATGGTTTTGAAAATTCCTTCATCTGCTGTAACTAGAGCTTTGACCCGCAGTACTTCAGTTACCAGGATCAGTAAAAATCTGTACAAGATTTCCCCCTTCCTCATATTGATCATCCCGTCCTTTAAAATACACCTGTGGAGACAGTGACCCCTGGGTGAAAGGAGGCTGCACAGCCAAGGGAATAAGGCATTGAATTGTGGGTCAGGAAAGCTGAGTTCTGTTCTCAGCTCTGTAACTGACATGTCCGGGTGTCCTTCGCTTCTCTCTGACTGTTTTCCCATCTGTGAAATGGGGATAATATCAGGCTTTGTAATGTGCTTTGAGATCTATAGTTTAAAAACCCTATACAAGAATTAAGCATTTATTATTATTATTATTATTATTTTATTATGCACTTGAAATATGTAGAACAAATCCATAACTATTTAATGTAAAGCTCTCCAGAATAAAGTGGGCATATACCATTAACAATCACATCTTAAAATAAATGAATTAATAATACTGTAGATTACTAAAACTGTACAAAAGTCCAGATCTGATTTTCCACCATTTATACCGCTTTGCATTTCATTCCACTTGGATGATGAAAACAGGTCAGTTTCCCATTGTAGTTCTCACGTGCTATCCCAAGGCTGCAGTGTTTGGGCTGCAAATACAGCAGGGGAATTTTTAACTTAATTATATTGATTTTTTTAAAAAAACCCGGCTTTCACAAAACCTAAATGTGGGGCCGCAAGCTCTAATTTAAAGGGTGTGATGGACAGGGAGTTGAGAAGAGGCCAAGCGCTGTAGATAAACAACATCAGCCCTGTGGAAATTAGGTCAGTGACTCAGGGTGTGTGGGGCGTGGCTGATTGCTGGGGATGTGTTAGCGCTGAGATGATCACCAACAAAGCTGCGTGATCTTGTTCAGGCCAGTTGTCCTAGGCATGAGCCTAATGCACTAGATCAGAACTAGAGGGAAATTTAGATCAAAAGGGTTTAATCCTTGCCTGTTTCTACTGTGCCTTCTTAGTAAGGCCAGGTCTACACTAAAACATTGTCAAGCCAGCTACGTCGCTAAGGGGTGTGGCAAATCCACATGCTGGGTGACGTGGTTAAGCCTATCTATCTCCCGGTGTACGCAGCACTAGGTTGACTGAAGGATTCTACACTGGGGTTTAGGTCGGCTTAACTATGCTCACACCTCTGAGTGACGTAACTAGATTGACCTAACTTCATAATGTAAACCAGCCCATAGCACCTTTCTGAGCTAGATTGCTGATGCAAATCCTGCCTGGATCAGCAGCAAGCTGTGCATTTACTCTCTGGAAGCGCTATGGTGCCCCCCGGTGAAATGAAGTGGTTTAGACTAAGTTCCATTCCAAGTGGGCTAGTGTACACGCTGCACAAACTTGTGCTGCAAGTGGTGCTAATTTGGGGCCCCTTTTGCAGGCAGACTCCGCGGAGGCCATGATTTGACTGGCTCAGAGAGACTGAATCCTTTGGCCAGGGGAAGGTGCTGGGGACATTTCCCCTGCGCTTGCCCACGTTCTGCCTGTTCTGTGCACAAACCGAAGGCTTGGGTCTGCAGGATTGTGTAGATTTTACAGGGTGGTGGAAACGAATTCATGAAAATAACTGGTTTGGGCAGGCAATGGGGCCTGTGATATTGGGCTTCAACTGAACTTTAACGCATGTTCCATGAGAGAAACTGACTACTCCAGCTGATCTGGCTTCTCCAGCATCTCAAGAGCTGCCTCTTATTACATGCAGTTGAGGAATGTTGTTTGCCGCTATCTCCTTGCTAGCCAGACAGCATCCAGAGTTTCTCCTCTGTGGCTGTGGACTGATGTATGGGATTTCCAGTGCATCAGCTGATTTTCAGGTCATGACACGTGGAGCGGGGAAGGAAAACCAGCCCCTCATGATGCAGACTGCGTTTGTTTCTTTTCACTGCCTCAGTGGACACTGGGAATTCCCGAGTTCTAATCCCGATGCCTTCCACGCCTCTGGCAAGTTGCTTAATCTCCGTGCCTTGGTTTCCTTATCTGACCGAGAGGTTAACCCTGACCTTGCTTTTGTGCCCACGGGAGCTTGGGGGGGGGTGCCTGGCACTTTGAAGGCAAATAAGCATGTATTGTTTGTTGCAGGTGATGCGAGGCTGGGGTGGATATCAGCCCCATCGGACTCCGCTCCTGGACATGAAAGCGTAACGCAGCTCGGAGACCAGTGCCCAGGCGATGTACTAATCACCTCCACCCCTCTCCCTTCTTGTCGATTTCTGTGCTAACGTCAAGTCCTCCCACATGGAGTTAATTGTTTAAAGCTCCACCCTCCGTTTTGCTCGACTTCTGCCCCCCTCTCCCCGTTCTGCCCTTTACAAGGTACGGCGGGTGGGCGTAGTCCCTGCCGGTTTTAGCTTCCGAGTGCTGTCAGACGGTGCTGCCCCTGAGCGTTCCCACCGGCGAAGCACTGGAGGCATGGGCTGAGTCTTGGGTTTGCACGTTTTGACCAGGAACAGCTCTTTCCTCCTCTTGGTTGCGGATATAAAACCCTCTGAGCCTTTTCACACGGGCCCAGAAGAGAGGCTGTCGATCCTGAGAGTGTGTTGGTGAAACTCCATCGCTGGGTGGCTCAAAGACTCAGCCCCAATAAACCCAGTTATCGCAGCCTCCCCTTCAGTATAAGCCATTTAAAACCAACGCAGTTGTAGTATTGCAGATGCATCTGCTGACTGCACAGAGAACAAACCTCCTGCAATGCTGCCTATCTATCGATGCACATACTGGGTGTGTTACTTTGCATGGGGCAGTCCCATGCACAAATCTGATTATTGTATCTCTTGCTCGCTCTGTATGGGGACCTAGTTTAATGGAGCCTTTGCTGCGATCTTGAAATAGCTGACAGCAAGCATGTTTCCTTCAGCCCTGCAAAAGGCCATTCAGACGGGTGCATTTGAAACAGTCCTTTGATTCCAGTCACCCCAGGGCAGGGATGGGTACAGTTTGGCTATGCAGTAAAAACAGGGTGAGTTTAGCAGAGCAAAACTGTCTGTCTTTGCATTCAGCCAAGAGGCCTTATGTATTTGCCAAGGAGGAGAAGTCTTCCTGGCACAAAAGCTACTGGATAGTAAAACAACCGAACTTTGTAATAGTTCAACAAGGTGGATCTTTCTATGTGGATGATTTTTGTATTCAATAGTAGCTCATCTCTATATTTTGTAAATAAAAAGGCACCGTGAATGTGAGTATCTCTGGCAAGATCTCATCATTTTTTTTTTTTTTTTTTGTAATCTGCAGTTCCTGTCTTTCCGCTTAGAGCAGTCAAAACCCATGTGAAGTGCAGCTTGTGTTGTGTTAACCCTTTGTCAACTGCAGAGCTGGGCCTGGGACATCATGATTGAAAAGGTACTGTGTCCTCTGAGCAGAACAGAAACCTCACCACCACCTGCCCTGAAGTCAGGTCCACTGATCTCTCCAGACATGGCATGGAGTGTGTGTGTGTGTGGGGGGGGAAGGCTGGTCCTTGGCTCAGTCCTGTCTGCTTGTTCTTTAGAGAATCCCTTATGTCCAGGACTCTCCTCACACTTCACTATCCCTGCACTGAATGCAGTAGAGACGGGTGCTGATGCTGAGTGCTTCATGCAAGCAGGTTGCATGTGGCTGTGACCCAGTGAGAAATCATCTTCTGCACCAGGAACTCCTGGAGTAAAAAGGCTGTTTTTGTTGCCTCCTTCAAACTGGGTGACGGGGAGCTTAGAAAAAAAAATAGATCTACATGGCATAACTCTTGACCGCTAAAACCAATCGTGGTTACAAAGATGCTGAAGTTACAGGCGTACATTAGTAATTCAAATGCATGGTAACCATTCCAGAACATTAATTTAAAAAAATCCCTCAAATGTTAGAAACCCAGAAAATGCAGTTAGGGCTGCACACTCCTCAACTAAGGTGCCTATATCACCTTAACTCTGACCCTTTAGATGCCTCCTTGCCATCTTCTTTTGTTTGAAAACTGGCCTTGCAGTTTGTTACATTAGATAGGTGCATCTGAATATGCTGCCTCGTCCCTACAGTAGCCTTTGCTGTTTTCACGGGAGTTCTCTGTCGTGATTAGTGCCTGTGAGGCCTGTCTGGAGACATGATAGCAACAGGGGTGCCATATGGAATTGTAGTGCTCAATCCTGTGAAAGTGCTGAGCACCTGGGAGGAGCCTTCAGCCCCTGGCAGGATCAGGCTCTCATGGAGGAGTGGGGAATGATTACGTAGCAAAATCAGTTTAATAGGGAATGTGTAACACGAGTGTGCGTGCTTTGGGTGACCATAACAAAATGTGGACAGCAACCCATGAGCTACGCAGTTGAGATGAGCACACAGCATTTGTGGCCATTGACCAAATGAAACTTGTAATGGGCAGCAAGTTTCTAACCTTCTATGCAGCTCTGTGCGTGCAGACTTGCAGTTCTTTACTCACTGAGGTGCTTGCGCTGTGTTGATGAGCACAAGTGAAAATCTAGATGATGGGTGTGGTTTTGGGTGCCTTCTTGGAGAAGGGCAGCCTTTACTCGGCAGTGTCTGGGTTTCTAGCCTGGGAATTCAGTTGGCTGGGCTGGGTCGACTTGTCTTTTCTTTTACCTTGGGATAAACTGCCTCCAAATCGACTTTGACTTGAAGGTCCCACTGCTTCCATCGGGTGTATTTCTGGAATCCCAAGGTCAGTGCACAGAACCTGCCCTGTGTGGAGCTGTACGTGCCCTGCAACCTTAGCCAAAAACTATACCGAGGATCCGTTTGCTGCCAGAAATCCTATTATGCTTGCACCATTGTTGCCTGAGCCAACAGACGAGGGGAAGTGTCAGATGTTCTCCCTGCTCCGAGGAGAGGTCTGTAAGGAGGTGCTGGGGATATAGCTAGGGGCGCTATTTAGCTCAGGAGTGAACCATTATTGTAGAGTGCTGCTCTCACCTGTCGTATATGTTTACGCTCCTGTCCCCCTTGTGGCTCCGGGTTAGAAGAGGGACCTTGTGTCTGGTGCTGTTCTCACCCAAGTTCTCTGAGGTTTCGGTGGAAGGTGAGTGACCACCAGCAGCCCTCTGTTGTGTGCTGTGTCTGTATGTAGATTGAAAGGCAGAGGTCTGCCTGCCAGGGAGAGAGTTGGTTGTTCTGTGGCAGGGGCTGGGTGCTGCTCTAAAACCAACCCACCAGGTGGGAGAGACGGGGAGGCTGGAAACATCCGTAAAATGTTTTATTCAAGTAACTGCAAATAGGAAACCAAAAGGTCTTTAACAATGGGCCAAAAAAACTCCACTTCTTACCAACTGTCAGCCACCTGCCTGCTTTCTCCAGCCGCGGCTTACGCTCATATGGTCCCTCCCCGCCCTGCTGGACAGGTGACTTGAACACCCAGTAAAACTCTCAACGTAAAACCCAGAACTGCTTTCACCCCCTTGGCCTTCCCCATAGTAATAACCTCCAGCTCCGCTGCAGTTGGTCGTAGCTAAGGGATGGAGTGTGGTGTGGCGAAGGGATCTCCCGGCCTGTAGGTCATTGGAGGCAGATGCTCACGCTGTGTGTACTTTCCTGCTGAGTCTAATCCCCCAGCCTGAGGCATGGAGCATGAGAAGAGGACCTGGTGTGGATTAATGAGCAAACAATATCTCGCCCCTGCCGCAAGCAGCGCTGTTTTGCTGAGGCGCCTTCCCGCGAGCTTGCTGCCTCACCTCACGGACATCGTCCCCTCCGGGAAACGGACACCGGGGCTGACTCTGCTGTTGCTCAGGCCCAGTCCAGCGCCCGACCCGGGCTGCTTCTCTCTCTAGAGAGCAACATCTCCAGTTCAGTGACGTCGAGCAGCCGGGGAATGTTTCCAGGCCACGGCCGTAGAGAGCTAATCCCAAGGGGGCAGAGGGACAGGGAGGGGTGTTGTCCCCACCTGCGAGCGCTAAGGGCTGGTGGGGAATAGGTCATGGGTTGCTGCTTTACCATTTTCTCTCATTTTACTAACATTGGCTGGAAAGCCCGGGGGAGAGGGTTGATGGGATGCCTTCACCACACCCCTTTGAAAGGCTCTGTCCCTTTCTATAGTAGAACAGCCTAATGCTTTAAAATACCCCCCCACAATCCAACCGACTTTGGCTCTCTACCGTAAATGAATCGTTCCCAGAGGAGGGGGGAGGGAGGAATAAAAACCAGAAAGACCAAGTTGGAATAATAAATGTTGTAACCAGTACAGCAGCAGTAACAGCAGCAGCATATCTATGGTTAAGAGAATGGAACTTAAATTATCCAGAGGTAGTTGTGAATGAAGGAGGAAAAAACAAACCAACAAAAATAAACCTTAAAAAAAAAAAAA